GCTTTACACAATTGATGTGTGTCTGGATTGTGATAACAGTTGTATGAGCCCCCAATAAAATGTTTAAAAAAAAAAGGGTTTTTTTGGGCCCTTATTAAATTGTTTTTTAAAAACTCGCTTATACGTGAGTAAAAAACAAAACAAAACATATAAAATAATTTCTTCATAAGGATTGGATTAGTTTTGTTTTTTTTATGATGGCATATACCACGAATCAATAGTGGTGTCGTTACAAGAAGTGAGTTAATATAATGTTTTTTAAGTTAATAAGTTATAATCATGTTAAAAGCTTACATTTCTGAAAATATTTTTAAAGAACTGTGAAATTGCAACTACCCTAGAAAATCAAAGCCACAAGATCCGGTATTCAGAGACAGTGGAAAACGGAGCTATTGTATTTCCTCGATCTGGTATGGTATATTTGTTATTTTTATTTCGTTTCCTATAAAATATGTGGGTATACGTTCTAATGATTTTGTAGTTCATTAACCAAGTAAAAGGTTAAGGTCTTTTGCTACTTTTTATATGTTGTACTACTTAATCTTTATAACAAACCTAACAAATCACTATTATCTCCATATTACAGATAAAGGAAATTTAGGTTCAGAGAAGTTATATGAATTGTCCAAGTTCACTTAGTCTGTAGTTACATAATTGTTTTCTTCAGGTTATATCTCTCCCAAATCTTTAAAAGAGTTATAAGAATTCAGTCAAATCCCCTTTTTGAGTCATCATTATAGGCCTTATAGTATATGATATCCCGGAATATGCACAGTATATTAATTTATATAGCAATTTATGCTTTAGTAGAAAGATTTCTCCAGGAAGGAATAACTGAAGAATTGCTTAAGACTATCTTTCTTGATTTATTTTAAAAATAATAATATGGAAAACCCCTTTTAAATATAATTAATCTTTTAACTACAATTAATCTTTTGACAAGTGCCTTAGTATGAAGAAAGAATAGTTACCAACCAAAAGAGATTTGTTTAGTAATTCTAATATTTAGAATTCATTTCTTTTAGGGGCTACAGAGCACTTCAAAGGATTACCTATTTTATTCTGTTGTCTAAGAATTTTGTTAGAAAATTTACTACTTCCTATTAGTACTAATTTCCATCACTTGTCTGTCAGTTGTATTGTGATGGCTTGCATGTTGCTGTGATGTTGGAACCTATGCCACTGGCATTTCATATAGTCACAGGGTCACCCACAGTGAACAGGCTAAGTGGAGCTTCCAGAGTAAGAAGAAACTAGGAAGAAGGAACTAGGTTGTCCACTTCTCGGGAATTAACCACTGAAAATGTTATCAACATGGCAACACTGTTGGATATGGTGTCAAAAGATAGAATTCGAGTATACCATTTGAGGGATTCTTGGCAAAAACTGACTAACTGCAGAACGTTGTCAGTTACAGGGCCAGAGGATGAACCCTTCAGGGTGGAAGTCACTCAGAAGACAACTGAGCAAGAACTGCCTTCTCTATAAAGGTGGCCACAGTAATATGGATGGAATAAAGCTTTTGGACTTTCATTTGCTGATAGGGCAAGAAACAAAATGAGAAAACAGCCAACAACATCCATTAATCATTGGGAAATGAAATGTAGAAAATACGAATCTTGGACACATTGATATATCCTAAGCATTAGGGAGTAGACATGGACTGTATATATAGACTGGTAGTGGCCGTATGGAAGAAGACAGTGATCCGGTTTACTAAGCTGGGAATGACAAATTTAAGAAGCATGGCATCACATTCACCGTCAAAAAGAACATTTCAAGATGTGAAAGGATCATATCTAGACACCTATCTAGTTAATATGACCCAAATTTATAAACCAATCACTAAATAAAGGATTATACCAACTTCTTAAATCTGATATAGTTATCAAACATGCAATCAAGATGCACTGAAAATTCTTGGTGATTAGAATGAGACAGTAGGAAACAAAGGGGAAGGAAGTTTAGCTGGAAATGTCCTTGATGATAGAAACACAGAGGTCACATGATAGAATTTTGCAAGACTAACAAGTTCTTCATTGCAGATATATTTTTGCAACAACATAGATGGTAACTGTATACATGGGCTTGCTAGATGGAACACCCAGGAATCAAACTGACATTTGTGAGAAGAGATGATGGAGAAGCCCAGGATTAACAGCCAAGGGCCTACTGTGGAATCAGTTGTTCATATGTAAGCTCAAGTTGAAAAAAATTAAAACAAGTCCATGAAAGCCAAGATGGCCTTCAATATATCCCACCTGCATTTTGAGAACATTTCAAGAACACCAATGACAGAAAATCTGATTAGCTGAGATGACCTCAAGAACATCACTGAAGAAAGTGAGAGGTCATGAACAGGACAAGAAAAGATTGCAGTGGTGTCAGGAGAGGCTGAAACTTGCTTTTGAACAGAGACTAGCTAAAGCAAATAGAAGAAATGAAGTAAGAAAGCTGACTAGAAAATCTCCAAGGGAAGCTCTAGAAGACAAAGTATTACAATGAAATATAGAGACATAGAACTAGAAAACCAAAATGGAAGAACCTGCTCAGTATATATCAAGCTGAAACAATTAAAATAATTTAGTCCTCCCGAGTTGCAATGCAGAAAGCATCAAAAAAAGCTGGAAGGAGGAGTACACAGATTCACTATAACAAAAAAGGACTTCAGCTATTTCAAGAGGTAGGTATGATCAAGAACTAATGGCACTGAAGGAAGAAGTCCAAACTGCACTGAAGGCATTAGCAAAAAATAAGGCCCCAGAAAATGCTGGAATGCTAATTGAAAATTTTCACAAACTGGTGAAGGACTAGAAGCACTCACTCCAAGTTTCCAAGAAATTTGGAAGACAATTAACTGGCCAATTGAATGGAAAAGATGTATATTTATGTACATTCCAAAGAAAGGTGACCCACCCAACAGATGTGGAAATTACAGAACAATATCATTAATGACCACAAGGTCATCAGTTCAAAACCCCAGCTGCCCCGAAGATGATGCTTTAGGTTTCCATGATTTACAGTCTCAGAAACCCATAGGGGCAGTTCCATTATGACCTATAGGGTTGCTATGAGTAGACATCAACTCAGTGGCAGAGAGTTTGGTTTTGAGATCATTACTATCACATGCAAGTAAAATTTCACTGAGGATCATTCAACAGTGGTTGCAGTTGTACATAAGTAGTTGCCACAAATTCACAGCAGATTCAGAAGAGGACATGACGCATTACTGATGCATCTTGGCTGAAAGCACAGCATACTAGAAAAATGTTTACTTGTGTTTTATTGACTATGCATTGGCATTACATTGGACCATAAGAAACTATGAACATTGAGAAGAATGGGAATCCCAGCGCACTTCATTCTCTTCATGTGAACCTATATACATAGGCCAAGAGGCAGTTGTAGGAACAAAAACAAGGAATGCTGTATTTAAAATCTAGGAAAGGTGTGTGTCAGGGTTGTATCCTTTTACCACACTTAATTCAATCCATATGCTGAGTAAATAACCTGAAAAACCAGACTGTATGAAAAAAAGGGCATCAGGCTTGGAGGAAGGCTTGTTAACCTGCCATATGCAGGTGACACAACCTTGCCTGTCCATTCTGTTGTACACAGGGCTGCTCTGAAACTTAGTAGCACAGAACAACCTGAGTAGTTGTTTAAGAGACCGTGGTGACACAGTAGTTACGCAGCTACTTGGATGCTGCCCAAGGGTGGTAGTTTGAGCCTTTCACCCATGGAGAATGCTGTTGATGGTCTATTTCATAAGGATGCCAGCCTTGGAAACCCCATGGTGGGCAGCTCTCTGTCCTACAGGGTTGCTGTGAGTTGGAGCCATCTCAAGAGCAATGGGCTTGGGTTTAATCTGTATGAAAGTGTTATTTTGTTATTTATCACAAATAATATATTCAACTTCCCTAGGAGTTGCGTTTTTACTGATGGATGCTAAAGAATGTCTTATGTCAGCTGAAGAAATATTTATAGCCAAGATTGAGAAATTCATAAACATTCACCAAAATAGTTTTTTGGTCCTATCTGCTGCCTTCCATGGGCTGGAGGAATGGAATCTGATGTTCAAGATTCAGCAGAGGTATGGAAGAATGTCACCTCAGATATATTTTCCTGAAACTATATTGTGTTTGCTTTAGTTCTTAATATTTTGGACAAACGAGTTTTGTTTTGCTGGAACATAAACAATAATGTTAATCTATCTTATTTAAGGAAGCATGGACCAAATAGCTATTTTATGAATCAGTATGGCAAGTTTTAGGGTTCATGTTGATTTGTGGGATTCTCCTGAAGGACCTGAGCAAAAGGAACACTTCCGTTAAGTATTGGCTAGTGTCACCTCAGATCCTCTGTGGTATATGGCATGGCACGAAGGAATACACCAGTAATGAGTAATAGAGGTTTCTGCCTTTTTAGCAAATGCTTAGGATAGCATGTTAAGTTGTATGCTCTATATTAACTTATAAATTGTTTTTCAGATTCCTGGGTAAGAACTTTCGGATACTTCCAGTACACAACGTGGTGAATGCTATTAATCTCATGTGTACTATAGCTAAGGTGAGTCACCTGAAGAATATGGCACATACACGTACAGATTTTACAAATTTTGATTTCATCTTGAGCAGGGTTGGCAAATAGTCACGGTTCTCTTCTCTTGGAGAAGTTGCCATTTCAGCATGCAACTCTTTCTCAAGTCTGGACTTAGTAACTCAAGTCTTCTTCATGCCTTCCAGTATGTACTCCATTACTTACTCAATGTGGGACTCAGTCTGGGCCAAAAGAGTAGTTGCGCTTTAAATATACATTGTATATTGATGAGAGTGCAGCCATGAACTCTGGGACAGAGTGCAAATATACTACTGTATGGAATGCTCTTCACCAGTGTTCT